TGAGAATTTATGTATGTAAGAAAGTTTTGGATGTGATGTGATGTGATGGAAAGTTGGGAGTGGGGAGAATGTGAAGTGATGGAAAGTTGGGAGTTGGGAGAAGTTTGGTGTGAACTAAACAGGGCCTTAGATATTAGCCACTAGTTGAAAGCAAAACAAACAAATGGTAGTCTAGTCTATACTATATATACACACCGTAATAAATAGGACGTGACTCCCGCTCGGGCGCCCGATGGGAGGAGGTTAAAATCGGGCGCTGACATCAGCATGACGTCAGCGTCTGATTTATGTGCAAAACTACTTTAAACTGATTTTTCTCTTAAATTACTTATCCAAATCATGATCCGATTGCACCATTAAATTCGTTGCAATTAAATATTCAAAACAAGACCACACATAGATATATTCCGACGAAAAAAATTTAGCTTATTATTGAATTATCTTTAAATGTTACACGATGTTCCACCAGGTATATCGGAATTGTTTCACTAAGTAGATCGAAAATGTTTCACTCATTTAAATCGGGTGTTGTTTCACCTTATATAAAAATAATGTTTCAGCAAATAGCGAAAGAATGTTTCAGTTTACTGTAACATTAGATCTATACATAGTGAAACATTGTGAGTACATTAGGTGAAACATTTTTTGGCGGAACAAAAAATAAACCAAATTCCCTTAATATGGGGTTTCTAAAATATGTGGGTTTTTTTGTTGCAATAGAATGTTTCGTTCACTGCAACATTAGATCTATACATAGTGAAACATTATAAGTACAATAGGTAAAATATTTTTGGTGGAACAAAAAATAAACCAAATTCCCTTAATAAAGGTTCCAAAATATGTGGGTTTTTTTTTTGCAAAAGAGTATTTTAATTCACTGCAACATTAGATCTATAATAGTGAAACATTGTAAGTACACTAGGTGAAACATCTTTTATGAAAAAAAAGGGGAGAGAGAAGTGGGTGGGTGGGCCGGGTAGGGGCGCGCGGGGGGAGCGCCCGATCCGGCTCCCCAGCGCCGGTCGCCCGTAATTAAGCATTCTCGTAATAAATAAACACACGAAGCTTTTTCTAATTAAATTGCTAATATGACTTTTCACAGGCAGCTAGAGCAACCATAGGGATCTAGATGTGTCTGTGAAAATCCCGGTGGACGACACAATTGTTAAATATGTGATCCGAATTTTAGGCACACAATATATTCGGATTAGTTTCTTAATAGGATTAGTTTCCCATTAAGACTTCGACTCTTTGCCCATGAGGACTCCTAGCTATATATATCTGTTGTAAGCCGCACAGGGAGGGTGTGACAACCCTATGTTTGTATCCAACTACTATATAGTGATTATTGCCGGTCGGCGTCCGTGGTCTTTTCCTGCAAGAGTTTTCTACGTAAAATTCGTGTCTTTGTTGTGCATCTATTTTCTAACAAATGGTAGACAACCCAATGTATCCTCTGCATTTGTATCCAACTCCTTTATACTGATAATTGCCGGTCGGTGCCCGTAGTTTTTCCCTCAAGGGTTTTTTATGTAAAATTTGTGTCTCCGTTGTGCTTCTATTTTCTTAACATTCATGACAAAATCAATTGTGGGACAAAAATAAAAAAAGTATTCTAGAAACTCTAGATCCGACCACAAACCTCCTCGACGCCTGACACATCGTCGCTGCCGGAAGACATTGCTCTATTGCATCTTAAGTCCACCAGATCTCACCGTATTATCTCTACTAGAGGCGTTCCACGTCAAGCTCCGCCAGATCCAGTGCACCTAAAGTCCACCTTCATCAGATCAAACACGATCAAAGCCCGTCGCTACTAGAAAAAGCATTTTTGCAAGCGGCCAAAAGCAATTTTTGCAGGCGAAGGGGAGGACCGCCTGCAGACGGACGATGGTGAAAATCATCTATTTTCGCAAGCGGGCAAATGGCCCGCCTGCGAAAATCCAATAAAAAAACAAAAAAAATCGCCTCGCCGCCGCCGCCGCCGTCGCCCTCCCCCCGACCTCCCTCCGGCCGGATCTGGGAGGGGAGGCCGGGGAGCTGCGGCCGCCGCACCGGGTCGCCGCCGCGTCGCGCACGCCGCTGCTGCCCTCTCCCGGCCTCCCTCCGGCCGGATCTGGGAGGGGAGGCCGGGGAACCACGTCGTCGCCGCCGCCGCTGCCCTTCCCCGGCCTCCCTCCGGCTGGATCTAGGAGGGGAAGCCGGGGAGCCGCCGCCGCGTCCGCGCGCCGCCGCCGCCGGTGGAGGGAGGGAGAGATGGGATGGGAGGGGAGGGGATGGCGGAGCTGAGAAGCCGGTGGTGGAGGGAGAGAGTTGAGAAGATAGAAATGAGTGATAGGGAAGGGTTGGAGTAGTAGATAAGGATTGAAGTTTTCTTGGTATGTACGATTTTTGTAGGCGGACCACATAAAGTGCGCCTGCGAAAATCTATTTTCGTAGGCGCGGCTTAGGTGGTCCGCCTGTGAAAATTGTGAAAATGATTTTCATAGGCGCCGCTTAAGTAATCCGCCTGTGAAAATAGACTTTCGCAGACAGACAGCGAACTTCACCCTGATTTATATTCTTGTAGGCAGTCATTTGATTCCCAGACTCATGTCTGCCTGCGAAAAAAAAGACCCCTATATTGGGAAAAATGCTTTTTCTAGTATTGCGTCGCTGCCACCGTCCAGAGCCTGCCATCACAATCATCTGAAGTGAGGAAGGAGGAGAGGCGATATGTAGGCCATCGCAGGAGGTCCTCCAAATCGAGCTTTGCTGGATCCGGCACCACCACTGTGATGTTGCTTGATGCCCATCGTTGTAGCTGCCAGGAGCAAGGTGTTACAAATAATCTTGTCATTAGCATTAGCATGTTTACTTTGGTCGCATGTAGAAAATAAATGTATAGGTAGCAGGATATGGTACCCGAAGAAGCTTATGGTTGTATGCGAGATGCGTACGCGGCCGAGAAGCCGTGCGAGACGGCGGGTACGTGAGATGCTGCAGGAGAACGTCGTGCGCCATGACATCGCGAAGTGGCCGAGATGGCTGTGTCATTCGTTGGCGTGGAAACGCAGCATGCACGCAATAGTGGATAGATGCACGTTCTGGTTGTTAGCTTGCATGTAGGTGTACATGCAGCCTTGCATAGAGGGTTAGTTTGTTAGTGCATGGCGTGAGTCCCGGTCAAGAGAATTGGCTGGTTGTTATCCTTTGCATGTAATTTGAGTCTATATATAATGAGAAAAATGATGAGGCCGTGGGTGGTTGAATCAACAGAAACTTGCATCTTGTGCTGCTTGTGTGTGTCTACCTGAGAAGCCTTTGTGGCAAAAATACGGTAGAGAGAGAGAGAGAGAGGAAGTGATTTCCCACCAGAGAGACAAAAGTGTTTGTGATTAACACTTGTAGCTGTGAGTGAGCAATCCCAACACAAGGGAGGGGGAGAGAAGCGATGGAGGCCATCACAGAGGTACTCCTCATCGAGCTCCACTGGATCCGAAGCCCGCTTCCCACGCTACCACGCTGTACTGGAGATGGAGGGTAAGAGGGGACGGGGGAGAGGATAATTAAGCGAGAGTTTTGCCACTCCCATCACCCGGCCCATTATTTTATATTTTGTTGCGATTTTCGTAGGCGGTTATGTTAAAAGCACCACATCTTAAAAATAGACCTGCATGTGAAAAATCATACTCCCTCCGTTTTATATTAGAAGTCGTTTGACTTTTTTTAGTCAAACTTTTAAAATTTTGACCAAATTTATAGCAAAATATGGTAACATTTCAATATAAAACAAATATTGCATCAAAATATATTCAATGTTAAATTTAATGAAACTTATCTAATATAGATGTTGCTAATTCCTTTTTTCTTTAAACAAGCACAATGCCTGTGTGTTGCACTGGGTAATGTAAGGTGGATAAAGTTTAACTTCAATGATTTAGGATATGGTATGACCACTATCCGTCCGAATCCGCTCCATTTTCACCCCTACGGGAGGGACTCGCACACAACCAGAAATGCCACCCTTAAAAACGCCTCTCTATGTTTCATTGTTAAATATTATTACCACTCCCACACATCATGCTTGTGTATAGTATCTCTTTAGCATCATTGACTTAACATATGTAAAACATTTATTTTATTAAAAATGCTATAATATCATTTATTTTATTATTTGTTTTATTGTGATTAATTTTATCATTTAAGACTTCTATTTTTGCATAATTGTATAAGATTTTTAAATACGATAAATGGTTAAAACGCATATAAAAATTGACGGCGTCAAAAGAACCAATAGAGTAGTACTAACTAAAGCGAAGTTTTTCTTTTCGAAAATGACAAGAAAGGAGTAAAAAAATTATATGCAAGGATTGACCCTGTTTGAGAGAGCTTCTAGCTGCTGCAGTTTCTTCCAGAATCAGAAGCTCCCCCAAACAGTTCAGCTTTTGGTCTAGATTTTGAGAAGCTGTAATTGTATAAACCAGAAAATAAACTAGGGCCATGTTTAGTTCCAAAGTTTTTCTTCAAACTTTCAACTTTTCCATCACATCAAAACTTTCTTACACACACAAACTTCCAACTTTTCCATCACATTGTTACAATTTCATCCAAACTTTCAATTTTAGTGTGAACTAAACACAGCCTAGAAGCTATAAGCTGGGAAACCCAGCTTTTCCAGATTCTCATAAGCTGGCTACCGACCAGCTACTTCGCAGAATCTTAAGCTCCCCAAACAGACCCTATATTTCCTTGCACTTAGCTAATACTTCCTCTGTTTAATATTATAAGATATTCTACTATTATCCATATATATATATATGTGTGTGTGTGTGTGTTAATGAATCTACACATACATATATATGTGTCTAGATTCATTAACATCTATATAAATATGGGCAATGCTAGAAAGTTTTATAACCTGAAATGAAACGGAGGTAGTACTGGATCGAAAGCAACTGGAACAAAGCGAAACAAAAGAAAGGTGGTCTAGTCAGTATCTTAATAAATAAACCCACGTTTAAAACAAGGAGAAAAAAATATCAATTTGGTTAAGTTTAAAACTAGATTCTAACAAATCATAAACCAGTACGTACATAGTGTGTGTATATATGAGGGCTGCCTGCCAGTAGCAACCACACACAAAGCAAGCTCGATAACGTCGATCATGGCGGCGTCATCCTCCCTGTCTCCTTCCCTCCTCCTCGGCTGCTCCTTCCTCATCGCGGCCGCCGTCCTCCTTCGCCGCCATGACAGCGCCGCCGCCACCACCACCACCACCACCCACCTCCACTTCTACATGCACGACGCCTACACCGGCCCGGCTCCCACCGCCATGCGCGTCGTCTCCGGCCGCTCCTTGCTGCAGTCCACCACCGACATCGTCGACGGCTCGTCGCCGCCGCGGCAGTTCGGGGACATCGTGGTGCTGAACAACGCGCTGACGGAGGGGCCGGACGCCGGCAGCGCGCGCGTGGGCACGGCGCAGGGGTTCGGGGTGCGGGTGTCGGAGGGCGGGTTGGTGACGGACCTGAGCATGCACCTGGTGATGGAGGCCGGCGAGCACCGCGGCAGCTCGGTGGCGATCAAGGGCCGGATCGACGTCGGCGTCGGCGTGCGCGAGTCGGTGGTCGTCGGCGGCACCGGCCGGTTCCGGCTCGCGCGCGGGTACATGGCCAGCAGCAGCTACGACTACAGCCTCGCCGCCGGCGGCGTCGTCGAGATCCACGTCTACCTGCAGCACTAGCTAGCAGCCTGACACACTACGTACAGCTAGAACGCGCGCGCCTCTCCTGCATGCCTATGCCTTTTCATTTCATGTGTTCTTGCTTAAAGTTGTAACCAGCGTCCTGTGATGTATTGTACTGTACTGTAGCTCGTCTATTTTCGATTTTTTGCATGAGCACGTCTGCATGTTTGCAGCGTGAGCGTCGTGTGTTCCGGTCACGTTCGTGCCTGGAACGCGTCTTCTCATGGACAATTAAAGGCAGCAGCGCACAAACTACATTTTACATTAAGATATTTCTAAATTAATTACCGCTACTATAGAAACGATTTTTTCGGATGAGACCCCTTGAGGTTGCTGGCAAATTAAACTGCTCCCGCCTGCAAAAATCGCTGCCCCGAGAGCGTGGTTCAAAGACCACATGCGAAAAAACAATTTTCGTAGGCAGGCTTCTTAATAGGCCCGCCTGGCACCAAGCCGTTTACCCGTCCCCTCCCTCTCTTTATTCTCTCCTCTTAAAATATCTCATTTCCTAACTTCTCCACACTCCACTCCACTCCCTTATCTTCTCCTCATATCTTCTCGCCCCCTCCTCAAGCGGCCATCCCCTCCCCCCTCCCCCTTCCTCCACCGCGGCCACGATGATAGTGGCGATGGCTACGACGACAACGATGGTGGCAAGTGGGCGGACGAGCGGGAGTGGCCAGCACCAGAGGGATCCGGCGGCATACAGGAGCAGGGAGCGGCGGATCCGGTGGTGGGGAGGACGGTGGAGAGCTTGGCGGCAATGGATCCGGTGGTTGGGTGGGCAGCGATGGTGCATCCGGCGGTTGGCGGTAGGGATGGCAATGCTGATGGGAGGTAGGGAGGGCATCAGCAACAGCGAGGACGAACCCCGGGGGTGGGAGCGGGGGCGGCGGCAACGGCTGCGGGGCATAGGAGTTGCTATGTGTCACACCCCAATCCGGCATCGCCGTACAACGGCACCTGATAGGAGCGTGTCGTAGGAAAAACGGCGCGAACCGCTTCCTACGAAACCGCGATCTCAGTACTAGTCCCAGGACATAGCGCTGGTACCCACGGTGACAAATATGAATCATTGCAATCCTTAGAATAAATAGAGGACTTATTTACCTTAACTTAGGTTGCAACTCAGGACAGCCCGAGATTACAACCGACGACACGGACGAGGCAACACCAACAGCGGCAGCAGCAACGGAAACAACGGACTAACCCCCAACACCACAGGCGACGGCTGGGGTCTAGGACGAAACCCTAATCTTCACTTCACTTCAACTTCATCTTCAGAGCTGGCAGAACTATATTTATATAGAGAGCAAGGGTGAGTACTTACGTACTCAGCAAGCCAGGGGAACTTAGGTGGTTAATGCAAGTTTCAAAGAATAGGTTGTTATTTTTCAATCAGTTTTGTTTTCAAGGTTTTCAACAATCTAAGTGTGTGCTTTCCACAACCAGAGCGAGACAAGTCTCAGCTCAGTCGGGGTGAGAAGTAACAAATTTATTTATCAAGATTTTCACAACTCCCAGAGTTGGCCTCAAAGCTGGTTTTCCCAAACCAAACCATTTTTCCAAACTTCCCAATAATAGTGGTCCCCAAACGACCAATCACTTCCAGGGACTTCCGGTCCCACTGTCCCCCGGACAGCTAATTGCTTCCCAAGCATTAGGTTTCCCAAACCTTAACACCTTTTCATAAAACAGGGTAAAACAAAAACTACGCTAAGGAATCACCTCACATTCGCCCATGACCGTGGGCACGGCTGTTCGAACAGTTTAATAACCTCTGTAGAGGGGGTACACTATACCCACACGACGTTACTAGCCTTGGTCACCCAGCCCGTGCAGAACAGCCACGTCTGGTGACTTTGGGGCTTTCACGACAAGGTATTTCGAAAGCCGACACAGGGTTACCATATGCCAATGAGAGGAGTCCCAGACCAACAACAGGTTAGGTCCCAGACCATACTGTGCCAGGAAGCCCGGGGGTTCTCCCCGACACCACCCCGTTGAATCCACATGTCTCTTGGCATCAAGGCTCCCTTGATTAGCTATTTACTCAGCCAGGGGCGTCCCATTCCACCCGTGTGGTCGCACTATTGTATGCTCGGATGTAATTCCAAAGGAATCGGTCCTTAGATGCGACCGCACAAGTATTCCGCCCAGGAATGGCCTTGTGTCGCAAATTTTATTTTTAAAACTCATTTTCTTTCACAAGGCACCGACCCAGGCGTCGGGTTTTCCAAAGCTTTTGTAAACCAAGTTTTACCCAAGAAGTTACACAGATTTTAAGTTTGAAGGAGACCGTCGATACTCGCACAGAGTGCACGAATATCGAGGCGCAACTAGATAGTTACAAGGGAACATGATATAACAATTAACAATGGAAGGATCAGATGCAACAAGTTGGGTAGGCCCACCGGTCTGCCTTGCAGACGGGGCAAATAGATTAAGTGCAATCCTATCAATGCATAATATTTTTCAAGCAAATTAATTAAGTTCAAATATAGGCTCAATATGTTCAAAGGTGGCTTGCCTTGCTCAGGGTCTTGATCTTCACGAATCTTCAAGAAATCCGCTTGACGAAAATCCGGTAACCGCAACTATACGCAAACAATCAAAAACCTAACCAAAAGACTGAAAGAAAGATCCTATTTAGACTAATTAATAGTGCCATTAAATTGATATCAATTTTACGGAACTACTGGAAGTAGAACGGAGTCAATCGGTCGAGCGGTTGAGGAGATATGGATTTTGGAAGCTTAATTGGATTTCTGGACAAGGAAATGATCTATTGGATTTTTTGGAGTACGAGAAATGGCTTATAGAATTTATAGAAATAATATTCTCAAGAATATTATTGACAGTCACTGACATGCAGGACCAATGGGTTGAATTATTGGAATCCCCAGATTAAGAGGAAGGATTTTATGGAATTTGGAATATAGGAAATGTTTTATGGAGCAGGAGATATGATTTATTGCATTTATGGAAATGAATATTCTCAAGAATATCCTTTTATCACTCATTGACATGTGGGGCCAACATATGGTGAGAGAGAGGTGAATTGGGAGGGAGCAGATATAGACTTTTGGTCATTGTGTTTGGCGGAGGGAGTAAAAATGGACTTCCTTTGTTTCAATGGGCCGAGGAGGGGGAGCTGGTCGATGGGCCAGGCCCACGAGCGGGGAGAGAGAAGGGGGGGGGGGTGGCTGACTAGGCAGGGGTTGACTTGGTCTGGTGGGGTCAGCGGCTGAGGTGGCGTCCAGGTGGACGCCACGTCGGACAGGGAAGGGAGAGGAGGCCGGGCGGCTCATCGGATGGCCAACGGCGCTCGGTGCGCTCCAGCGAACGGCGGCGAATCGGAGTGGGCGGCAGGCACTGGAAGCGAGAGGAGGAAGCGGGGAATCGGTTCCACGGATCGGACCGGAGAGAAGGGGCGCGACGGCGGCCGGCGACGGTGGCGAAGCTCGCCGGATTGCCGACGTGGATACGCGATGGGAGGGAAAAGGGGGCGCGGGCTATGGTTCGATCGAATCGGTGTGGTGTTGCGACGCACACGCGTTGGGCGCGGAGGCTGATGGTCGCCGGTGTTGCTCGTGCGGCGGCGCGGCGCGGCAACGAAAAGGGCGGCGCGGCGCGAGAGCTGGAGGGGAGGCCGGTGGCCACGGGGCAGCAAGGGGGAGGTCAAGAGGGGCCCGAGGAAGGTGGTGGCGAGCGGGTTCGAAGAGAAGGGGGGAACCGACGGCAGAGCGCGGCCGTGTGCCGCGGTGGTGAATCGGGCGGCACGACGTGGGAACAAGAAAGAAGGCCGGCGGCTAGGGCGGCGGTTCGGGGAGAGTCGAGGGGGCTCCAGGAGGGTGGAGACGAGAGGATACGGCGAGGGGATGGCCGACGGCGGCGCGCGGTCATGCGTGGCGGCAGCGAATCGGGCAGAGCGACTGTTTGGGGTGGTTCAAGGGAGCTCAAGGCGGGTGGTGGCGCGGGGAGTCGCCGAGAGGGTGGCCAACGGTGGCGCTCAGCCGAGCGCGGCGTCGGCGGGAACAGAGCACGGCGGGGTGGTCATAGCATCGAGAGTGGCATGGCCGGGGAAACAGAGAGGGGGCGCGAGGAGTTCCGGGAGGGCGACAGCGAGCTGGTTCGGCGTACGGTAAGGGGAAGGGGACGGGGAGCTCACCAATCGGTGAGGAATGGTGTCGGCGGCGATTTGAGGATGGGAATGGGAGGAAGGCCGTTGGCGTTGGGCGGCGAGGCCGACGGCGGCGCGCGGTCATGCGCGGCGGCGGCGAATCGGGCAGAGCGACTGTTTGGGGTGGTTCAAGGGAGCTCAAGGCGGGTGGTGGCGCGGGGAGTCGCCGAGAGGGAGGCCAACGGCGGCGCTCAGCCGAGCGCGGCGGCGGCGGGAACAGAGCACGGCGGGGCGGTCATTGCACCGAGAGGGGCACGGCCGGGGAAACAGAGAGGGGGCGCGAGGAGTTCCGGGAGGGCGACAGCGAGCTGGTTCGGCGTCCTTTAAGGGGAAGGGGACGAGGAGCTCACCAATCGGCGAGGAATGGCGTCGGCGGCGATTTGAGGATGGGAAGGGGAGGAAGGCCGTTGGCGGCGCACGGGGACGAACGTGACGCCGAAGCGGGCGCACCAGGGAAGGAAGGGACGCGGGGTGGGACGGTTTGGTGACGGCGCGGCGTTCTTGGCCGTGGCGACGAAGGAGGCGGCGGTGCTCCGGGGTTGGCCGCGCGACGGCGACCGAGGTTGAGGGAGGATTTGGGGCTCGGTGGGTAGGATTTATAGGCAAGGGGGAGATCACAGACGAGCTGGCGCTCGGCTGGCGGTGGGGCGATGGTTTCGTGGGCGACCCGAAAACGGCAACGGCGAGGATGCGTTGGGCGGCGAGGTCGGTGGATCAAGCGGTCGAATTTGAACGCGGAGCGCGGGCCGGCACGGTCAAAGTGGGGGCGGCGGGATTCGGCGCCGGGGAGGAAACGAGATTTGGAAATTGAATTTGGATTTCGAACTTGAAACTTGGTCTCAGGAAAACAGGGAGGAGTCAAGGGAATGCATCCAAGCGGGAATTCGGTATTTCTTTGGGATAGATTTCAAAGATAGATAGGTAGACGGACGGACCGATGGATATCGTAGAGATAGATAGATCAACAGAGAGATCGGTAGACGGATAGTTAGATGGGTTGACAGGTAGAGAGATCGATGATTAGATCGAGAGACAGATAGGTCGATGGATAGGTAGATAGGTAGATCGATCGAAAGAGAGAGGGACGAAATGAACCAATCAATGAGTTTG